TCCACACTCTGGGTTAAATGTAAATGAGGACAACCATTATTAAAAAAAAAAAATACAGATACCTCAAAAAGTTTAAAATCAAACTATGATACAGCAATTGTAATAATGGATATAAATCCCAAACAAATAAAATCAGAATAAAGAAACATTTGCACTTCTGTGTTGTTTGCAAAACTCTTCACAATGGCCAAAATATAGAATCAGTTGTTCAGTATCTAATGAGTACATCAAGACAATGTGGTAGGCTGGGTGCAGTGGCTCTCGCCTGTAATCCCAGCACTTTGGGAGGCTGAGGTGGGCAGATCACGAAGTCAGGAGTTCAATACTAGCCTGGCCAACTTGGTGAAACCCCGTTTCTAATAAAAATACAAAACTTAGCGAGGCATGGGGGCATGTGCCTGTAATCCCAGCTACATAGGAGGCTGAGGCAGGAGGATCACTTGAACCCAGGAGGTGGAGGTTGCAGTGAGCAAAAATCGTGCCATTGCACTCCAGCCTGCGTGACAGAGTGAGACTCCATCTCAAAAAACAAAAACAACAACAACAACAATCAATGTAGTGTATATACACAAGAGAATACTATTCATCTTTTAAAAAGCCAGTTTTATTGTTTTCAATTACATGGTTTGAGCTAGAGGACATATTAATTGAAATAAGAGATAGAAAGATTATTATTTCATTTTACTTATACATGGCTTGTAAATAAGTTAATCTCATTGAAGTAGAGAGTAAAATTATGACCAACAGATAGCAAAGTATTTAGAAGGGGGGTTTGGAAAGATGTCTGTCAAAGAATGCGTAATTATAGTTGGGCAGGAGAAATAAGTTCAAAAATTTTCTTCTACTGCATGGTGACTGTAGTTCATAATAATGTATTTGCGTTTTTTAAAATTCTAAGACAATATTATGTGCTCTCACCACAAAAATGTTAACTATATGAGATAAAGCATTAATTACATAGAATTAAGCATTTGACAATGTATATACATATTCAAAATGTCATGTTTTACAGAATAAATTTATATTTATTCATTACAGATGTTACAAAAGACACTAAGAGGTCAGGTGTTGCTTAGGGTCTCATGACTGGCCACTCTGAATACAGTAAACAAGTTTGCATACAACACAACAAAAAAAGTTTTAATCCAAAATCTGCCATGATCTCCAAATGTTTTCCAGAGAAAATGACCAAAAAGCTGACTACCATTAGGTGATTAAGAATAAAAACTGTAAACTTCACCCACAAAAAAAACGATATAAGAGTGAGAAATTCCTCCAAATTGTAATATCAATATGCAAAAAAATATTATTCCAAATTTGAAATCTACAGAGGTCATTTTATTACTTTGAAATTTTTAATATTCACACATAAAAACAGAAGATTCTGCATGGAAATGTACATTGTTCTATAAGTATATCATAGAAAATTAAATTTACAATTCACTTATTAGCTCTTAAAAATTTAATTTCTAAGATACATATTTTAGGACATTTCATATTTGCCAAACTTTGTAAGAATTTAATGAGATTTTCTGTGTACAGAGAAAAATGATGCTAACTGATTTAATTCTCTTACCTGTGAACAGTGTATGCCTTTTAACTCATTTGAAAGCTGTGTTCATAAGCAAACTCTCCAGTTAAACCCATTTTTTAAAGTGCATTAAAAATACCAGCTTTCTCAGAAAACCAACAAAGTACCATGCTAAATGACACGGCATAAAAACGAGTATGAGAAAATTGTAGCCATAAAACAGAAAAAGAAAAAGAAGGTATGTGATGCATACATAGGTGAAAAACACAGAATTAGATAAAGAAAACTAAAGATAATTAGAACATAAAAGAAGTGAAATTCATCTTTAAATTCAGCAAGATTCAGTTTTGCAGCCTGAAAAAAAAAAAAAGACTCTTCACATGAAGAATTAGTTATTTGTTCAACATTGATATTTTCTATCTCTTACTTGAAATTGCAAACTAACTTTCACAGGAATATTTATTTATGCCTTACTATGGAGCATCAGTTACACTGTCATTTTTTTTTTTTTGCTATATTTATATATATAAACATTCTCAGGACTTATGAAACTTCCCTAGTACTTACCTGAACAAATTGGGTGAATCAATAGGAAATTATACTTTAGTCAATTATAAAAAGTGAAAGGAACAATAACTAAAAAATAGTAGGCTTATATAGAGTTCTCCAGTTAAAAGAACTAAATGGAATGTTCTAACTCAATAAAATATAACTTAATAAACTAATTGTGGAATTACACCTAGAAATTATTTTGTGTGCACTACTAAATTTTATAAAAACCATTCATACAGTCCTTGACCAGCTCACATAATGAAAATCTCATAAGCTATAAAAGAGAAAAAATATGAGAAACAAGAAAATTATGGGTCTAGCATTAGTACCAGACAAGTAAAGACAAAAAATTTACATAAGGAGGTTCTGATCCATTAGCCATAGATTTTACAGTAACCAATTCAATAAAAAGCAGAGGGTATCAATTTGCTTTTAGCATTTTTGAGGTTTTTAGTCTTCTATTCACCTTATTAAAATGATTCATTTTGTTCCAATATTGCTTTTTCCTTCTGAAAATAGGTACAAACTCATTCAAACATGTTTACTGACTCCATAACTTTCTTAAACCTAAGGTTTATCTTTAGAGTAATGTATGTGTATATTTAACTCTATGTAAATCCATACTAAAAGTCTGTATGTGTTTGCAGGCAGAGATGCCATATATTCAATGAAAAATATGTAACAATTTTAAAATGTTTATTCTGGACTCAGAAATGTATGAATTTTATTTATAATTGTACATAACTTTTATTATGACCATAAACATGACCCTGTAGTGAATAACACTGTAATTGTACGTTTAAAAATATCTAAAAGTGTAGAATTGGTTTCTAATACGAAGGATAAATGCTGGAGATGATGAATAGTTAATTTACCCTGATGTGATTATAACCCATTTTATTTCTGTATCCAAATAGGCTATATATAGCATAAATACCTACACATACTATGTACCCACAAAAATTAAGAAAAATAAGTTAAAATAAGAAAAAAACAAACATTTAACCTATGGAAACAATATTCTTTAACTGCTTTGCACTTTAAAGTCACTGGCAAAAGAGATTACTATGTGTTGTCCATTGTGTTATCAAATAGTATATTTGGTAACACTTTTTTAGTTTTATCTACATCCTTGAGTAAGGTCGAATAGATTAAAGTTAGTGGCATAATAACACTTTAGTGAATGCATAATAGTTTTAACATGTTTAAAACACTTTAAAAAATTAAGTTCACACTTAATCTAAAAATTTAATAATGTACTATATTCTATTATGTAAAAGTACTATTAGTAGAATGATATACTACTAATAAATTTTAGTTAGCTAAAATTAAAAAAGTTTTTATCACTATAATGTAGAATATTACTCTCAATATCTAATCCATGCATTACTTAATAATAAATGTTAACTAAAAAGAGTCTCTCCACTTGGAATTTCATCACATCTTACATTTTAATGCCTTTCCTCTTCCATAGAAAAGGTCATAAATAATGTATACCTAATAAACAAAAAACCTTTTATATTTTTGATGCAGCCATTAGTAACATGCTTTCACAGGTGAATACAGTAGGAAGGAAAAGAGAGCATGAAGTAATTTGACAGTAGAATTGCATCATTATTCGTGTTTAAAATATCTAATTTTAAGGACTAAAGTATACTTGTAATGTAATTATAACGTTTAAAAAATTCTCACTTCTTTTAAAGTGACATACAAATAATTTATTTACCAACTTTAGTTCTGGCTTATTTTCCATACTTAGCACTCTGATTTAGTGTAATGTCTATAGCTTCAGTGCCTTAGGTATTTCTACTGTGAATTCTCTGATATTTACATTGACTTCATTTTGGATTACACGTTGTTTCCTATTAACTACATTGCAAAAATATATTCTAGTATGAAACCTCTGGTGTTTTCTAAGAAATAGTTATTAAAACAATTTTTCTCCAAATTTATTATATTTGCAAGATTTCTTTCCCAATATAAATGTCTTGATGTTGAGCAAAGTTGGAGAAACTGCTTCAGGGTTTTTTTTTAGTACAAAATGTGTACAATAAAATCTGTGATACAAGGGTACTACAACCCTCTTCATGTTTGTAATCTTTGTCTTCAAAATGAATACTCTTCTTCACTTTTTTTCTGAGATACAGTCTTGCTCTGTCATGAAGCTGGAGTGCAGTGGTGTGATCTTGGCTCACTGCAACCTTCACCTCCCAGGTTCAAGGAATTATCCTGCTTTAGCCTCTTTAGTAGCTGGGATTACAGGTGTGTACCACCATGCCTGGTTAATTTTTGTATTATTAGTAGAGATGGGGTTTCTATGGCCATGTTGGTCTCAAAGTACTGACCCCATGATCCACCCACCTCAGCCTCCCAAAGTGCTGGGATTACAGGCATGAGCCACTGTGCCCAGCCTCTTCTTTGCTTTAGAGACTTTTTTTTTTTTACAGTAATTGCATTTATAATGATTTTATTATTTATCAACTCTCTAACATTGAGTAAGATGTGAGCAGATATTAATGGTTATTTCACTGTATTTGTATAATTTTTCTCAAGTATAAATGCTTTCCTGTGCAATAAGATATGACTATTAATTAGAAGTTTCACAATATTGTTCACCCTTGTAGATGTTTTCTCCAGTAAAAATTATCTTACCTAAAAATAAGTGAGACAATCTTTTAAAGATTTTGTCACATTCTTCACATTTCTAGGATTTGTCACCAGTATAATTTCTTTTATATTTAGAAAAGGTTTGAGGTGTTCTCAAAATCATTGTCGCTTTCTGCTTTTGTAGATTCTCCCTGGTATGAATTTTCTTATGCTTAATAAGCCTTGCAGATCAGTTAAAACTTTGTCACATTCTTCATATTTGTAAGGTTACTTCCCAGTATGAATTGTTATGTTTAGTAAGTGATGAAGATCAGCTAAAAGCTTTGCCACATTCTTCACATTTGCACAGTTTCTCTCCGGTATGATTTCTCTTATGTGTAGTAAGGTGTGAGGAATGGTTAAAAGCTTTGCCACATTCTTCACATTTGTACAGTTTCTCTCCAGTATGAATTCTCTTATGTGCAGTAAGTGTTGAGGATTTGTTAAAAGCTTTGCCACACTCTTCACATCTGTGTGGTTTTTCTCCAGTATGAATTCTCTTATGTCTAGTAAGGGTTGCAGAGTCTGTAAAAGTTTTGCCACATTCTTCACATTTGTATGGTTTCTCTCCAGTGTGAATTTTCTTGCATGTAGTAAGCATTGAGGATTTGTTAAAAGCTTTGCCACAGTCTTCACATTTATATATTTTTTCTCCATCTTCACATTTATATATTTTTTCTCCAGTATGAATTATCTTATGTCTAGTAAGTGTTGTAGAGTATGTAAAAGCTTTGCCACAGTCTTCACATTTGTATGGTTTTTTCTCCAGTATGAATTCTCTTATGTCTAGTAAGGGTTGCAGAGTCGTAAAAGCTTTGCAGCAGTGTTCACATTTGTAGGGTTTTTTCTCCAGTATGAATTCTCTTATGTCTAGTAAGGGTTACAGAGTCTGTAAAAGCTTTGCAACAGTCTTCACACTTGTAGGATTTCTCTCCAGTATGAATTATCTTATGTGTAGTAAGGTTTGAGGATCGATTAAAAGCTTTGCCACATTCTTTATATTTGTAAGGTTTCTCTCCAGTATGAATCCTTATGTTTAGCAAGTATTGAAGATGGGTTAAAAGCTTTGCCACATTCTTCACATTTGTGGGGTTTCTCTCGAGTATGAATTTTCTTATGTGCAGTAAGGTTTGAGGGATGATTAAAGGCTTTGCCACATTCTTCACATCTGTCGGGTTTCTCTCCCGTATGAATTCTCTTATGTCTAGTAAGTTTTGTAGACTGGTTAAAAGCTTTGCCACATTCTTCACATTTGTAAGGTTTCTCTCCAGTATGAATTCTCTTACGCGTAGTAAAGGTTGAGGATCTGTTATAGGCTTTTCCACATTCTTCACATTTGTAAAAATTCACTGTAGCATGAATTCTTTTGAGGTAGGTGTAACAGTATGCAAAATGATTTGCCACATTCTTTACATTTGAAAGGTTTCTTATCAGTATGTCTTATCTTATGTGCATTTAAATGTGAAAATTTATCAAAGACTTTCACATATTTATCAAATTGAAATATTTTGCTTTGGGTAGTTGGCAAACATTGCTTAAGTTCATTATAACCTTCTTTGTGCACCTTATACTCATCCACACTTTTATAGCCTTCTTTTAAAGAAATTTCTTATCTCCACATTTTTTGTATCTTCTCAGTGTTCCTTTTTGGAAAGAATCTTTTATGTTCTTCTCTGGCAAAAAGTCTTGGGTGAAATGAGAACACATTCGTGAAAGAAATAAAAATAACACATTACTTTAATTGCTAGACTCAAATGAATATACTTTCCAAGTCTAATCTATAAAACTACATAAGCAAGATGGCATAGCACAATACCACAGATGATAATTTCTTCCTAGACATACAAATTTAACAAAAAGATACTGACCAAAATGCTTTTGTGGAAAATTGATGAGTAAGTGTGTTCAGTGCCCCAAGCGAGCACAATATAAACAGCCTCATAGAAGAAAAAGAAAAGTCTGTTATATTTACCCAACACAGCTTTTTCTGCTCCCCAATATAACATAATGTCTTTAGAAGTAAATTGCCAACTTCAATTGTTTTGCAGAGAGGAATACCTGAGAGTAGATAATTCATCAAGCAAAAAGGTCTTTTTGGCTCACAGTTTGGCAGACTGTAGAAAAAGTGTGTGCCAGCATCTGCTTCTGGTGAGAATCTCAGGAAGCTTACAATTAGGTGAAAGGCAAAAAATAACAGGACATATCAGATGATAAGAGAAAGAGCAAGTGTGAGGCAAAGAAGCCAGGTTCTTTTAATGAGCCAATCTTTGAATTAACAGAGTATAAACATTTCGATTAACAAGATAGTGACAAGCCATTCATGAGGAATTTGCCCCCATGACACAAACACCTCCCACCAGGTTCCACATTAAACACTGAGGATTACACTGTAGCATAAGGTTTGGAGGACATGGAAATCCAAACAATATTGCAGACCAATTAGGCTTAACAGGCATATACAAACCATTTTAATCAAAAGCAAGAGAATACACAATATTCTTATATGTGCCTGGTATATTCTGTTAGTACACATACCAAGTCTTATTAAATCTGACAATACCAGCTGGGTGCAGTGGCTCATGCCTATAATCACAACATTTTGGAAGACTGAGATGGTAGAAACATGTGGAGCCAGAAATTTGAGACCGGCCTGGGCAACACAGTGAAATCCTGTCCTTTTAAATAATCAAAAAGTTAGTAAGGCTGGGTAATGCATATCTGTAGTGTCAGCTTCTTGGGAGATTGGATCCCAAGAAGGTGAAAGGATCACTTGAACCTGAGAGGTTATGGTTGCAGTGAGCCAAAATTATTCAACTGCACTACAGCCTGAGTGACAGAGTAAGTTCCTGCCTTAAACAACAAGAAGACATAAATTTAAGAAGACCAAAATCATACATGTTTTCTGACCAGAATTGAATAACACAAGAAATTAAGAGCAAAAGTAAAACTGACAAACCCAAATATATTTGAAAATGAAACAAACTCTTTAACATATTCTTGGCTTAAGGGTAAAAAAATTTAATCCTTCAAAGATGTCAATACAACCTAGAGTGGTGAACAGATTTATTATAATCTCTATAAAAATCTGAATAGCACAATTTTTTACAAACATGTTGTTTAAAATGTTTTAATTTAATGATAAACTATAGCCAAACACCCATTAAAAAACAAGGAGGCACTATATTTCCTGATTTCAAAACATATTAAAAGCTAAATAACACAAACAATGTGGTACTGACACACAGATAAACAGGAAAAAGAACATAATAGAGAGCCAAGAAATCAACCCTTCTATATATAATCAAATGATTTTCCACAAAGTTGCCATGAGCACACAATAGAGAGAAGATAATCTCTTCAAAACATAATGTTGAAAACTAGATATCAACACTGATAAAATAAAGTTAGATCATTTCCTTGAACCGTATATGAAAAGTATTTTAAATAAAATACTTACATATTAAAAAACTAACAAATCTCTTAGAAAAAAACATAGGGAGAAGACATGACATTGGTCTTGGCACCATTTTCTTAGATACAACATTAAATGGATGAGCAACAAAGAAAAAAAGAAAAATTTAACTACACTATATTCCAAAACTTCTGCATGTCAATGAAAACATTCAGTAGAGTGACAATGCCTTTCAGAAAGTGGGTGAAAATATTTGCAAATCACATATGATAGGAGTTAATATTAAAAATATATAAGTAACTCTTAAGACTGAACAATGAAGTTGAATAACTTGATTTAGAAATAAATAATTGAACTAAATTTTTATCAAAAAAGTTACACAAATGGGAAAACCCTTTGAAAAAACATGCAGAATTACCATTTGTAAAGAAATGAATAAAAATTACATTGAAAAACAAAATCACCTTATACTTAATAGGATGGCAACTATCAAATTTTTAGAAATACCAAATCTGTAGATTATGCAATAAAAATCACAGTCATGTTGATTGTGGGTGGAAAACAAGGATGCAGCCATTATTTAAAAATGTATAAATGTTCCTCAAGTAATTAAAATAAAAGTATCATCAAATACAGCAATCTCATTTATGAATTTATATCCAAAATATGCAACACAGGACCTGAAAGATATATTTGAACATCCATGTTTATTGTACCAGTACTCACAAAAGCTAAAAGGCTGAAGCAACTTAGATATTCCTTGACTTATAAACACATCAAAAACCATGTTATACACACACACACACACACGTACACACACAATAGAATATTACTCAGCCTTAAGTAAATCTTGTCATATTTTAAGATAAACTATGAAAATATTATGTTACCTGAAATAAGACAGTAACAAAATGATGAATACTATATGATTCCACTTATATGAGATATCTTAGTTAGTCACACTCATAGAAACAAAACATGGAAGGGTGTTTGTCAAGGGCTGGGGGGAGGGTAAAATGGGCAGTTGTTAATTAATGGGTATTGAGTTTTAGTTTCACAAAATGAAAAATTTATAGAACTCTTTTATATAATATGAATATACTAAACAATCCTGAAATGTACAGCTTCTTTTTTTGAGACAGGGTCTCACTCTGTCACCCAAGCTTGAGTGCAGTGGTAAAATTACGGCACACTGTAGCCTCAAGCTCCCAGGCTCAAGTAATCCTCCACCACCAATCTCCAAAAGAGCTGAGAGTACAGGTGCACACCACCATGCCTGGCTATTTTTATAATTTTTTTTTTGTAGAGAGAGAATCTCCATATGTTTTCTAGGCTGCTCTCAAACTTTTGGGCTCAAGCGATTCTTCCGTCTTCACCTCCTAAAATCCTGGGATGACAAATGTGAGCCACCACCATGCCTGGCCCTGAAATGTACACTTCAATAGATTTAAGATGGTAAATTTTATGTTTTAACAACAATGTTTTTCAAAGAAAAACTGAAAAAATACAGAATTAAAATTGTTTTCAAAAATTACCTTCAAATCACAAAAGTGTCTCTCTCACACAAAGGAAATACATATTCATCATTAAACACATGGTGAAAATAAGACTATTTCCTTGACTATTCACTTAGACAAGAAAAAACAACCATTCAGCTAAGAGAGAATGTATAGAAGATAAGCCATAACAAAAATTAGGGTTATATTTATAGATACACACACATGTATATAATCTGGTTGTGATAGACCTATGGCCGATTTATAATTAAGCCCATTGATTTAAAGTGCACAAATAGAATTGCAAATTGTCTAATATTATAGTACATAAGTAAAATCAAAACCCACAATAAACTGATGTTAATAAACCAAGACTATAAAACACCAATATAGACTGGAAAACAATAATAAGAGAAATGTTTATTCATAAATTCTGGTTTGTGATATTGATATAATATTAAGAAAGAATTTGTCTAGATAACGATAATATTTGACTAACTGTACTCACGGAAGGCAGGTATTTTAAATCATTGACATGCACTATATGGCTGTAAAATTTCAGAAAAATTGCAGTATAGGCATAAATAAAAGATTCTCATGAGAAACTTTAAATAAACATTTTTTAAAAACTAGAAATAAGTTTTATGTTTTAAACATATGCTATTCTTACACAAAATAAAACTGCTGTAATCCAACTTTAGAAGCAAAAAAATAGCCTTACATTGCTAAATGTAAGCAGAATATGGTTAGAGCCTATGATATATACAACAAATATATGGGAAAAAATGATGTGATTATTTAGATACAGGCTGAAAAAGTGGTTGCAAATCCTATAATTCCTTTTTGCCTACAGCAAACTTAAATTTATAAGTAACTGTTTTAGTAAATATGGAGTGTCTACTAATTATCTAATTTACTTCAGGCATAACATGTAAATTCTAGAATATTGTTCTAAATCTCTGAATCTAAAATTACAAATTTGTAATAGAAAATAAAGAATAAAAATGTATAAAGAGAGTGAAGTAAGTAAGATGGAAGAAGGAAAGGTACCCTATTTTCTTACTCCCTGCACAGCAAGACAATTTGTCAGCCATCTCTGACAAAAATACCTTCATGAGAGAGCCAGGCCTCATGGCTCAAACCTGTAATGACAGCTACATGGTACGTTCAGGTTAGAAAATTGCCTCAGGTCAGGATTTCAAGACCAGCCTGGATTATGTAGCAAGACTCCGTCTCAAAAATAAGTGCCTTTAAGAGAGCTTTGAGATCCAGAGAGGGGGTTGTGAAGATCTGATAAAGCCCGAGATTGAAAAGTCTTCTTTTCAGAAGGCAGGCCCTCATTTAGGTGGGAAACTACAGGATCCTTGTTCTTAAGTACAGACTAGGAGGTGGCTTACCTAGCTTGGCACAACAGAAAATTCTGAACTTACTGTGTAACCATCTCAAACTCGTTCCAGCCACAATCTGAGAGAGGTCCTGCCCTTCCAGAGACCTGGAGGAAGACATTCATTTATAGCCATGCAGGCAGGCCTGCAGACCTTGGCCTTTGCCATGGTCCCCGAAGCAGTTCAATGACTCAGTTTCAGCTCCCTGAGCCACAGTTAATGGACAGTTCTGCCTACCTAAGAACCCACACAGTGACCTGGAAAAATTCTTTCTGGTACTCAGTGAAAGCTGTACTCATCCACATTTTGACATAAGGCCCACCATATGCAGACTTGACTGCAGACACCTGCACTAGTGTCTGCCCTACAGAGCCAAGTACCAAAAGAAATTCAATCTATCCAACATATAAAATGTGAATTACAACTACCAAATCCCCTTGTGACAAGCCAACTAAAGGTGGACCCGAGTGCGGACCCAGCAGCCTGGTGACCAAGCTATAACCCCTCTCCACTACAAACCCAAAGGGCATCCCATCACCCTGGGGGCCCAACAAAAGATGATCTTTACCTACTGAAAGTTTAAAAAACTTGAAGAAGTGTTTCTTCCTTCAAATTTACATACACCAGTGCAAAACTATATTGTGCCTATTGTCAATGCTTCTCTTTTAACATAGCATTGAAAGTATGTGGCAGAAGAATTAGTCGAAAAATAAGGAGTCATTAAAATGGAAAACAAGTAAAACGTTGCTGGTTGTAGATCATATGATCTTATATAAAACCATAAATAGTACATTAAAACCTGTCTAAACTACTAAATACAATCAGCAAATTTAGGAAAATATAAAATCAACATACAAGTTAGGGTTCCGTACACTTAAGACAAGCTCTCTGATAAAATACAGAAAGAAAACAATCTTATTTACAATAGCATTAAAATGATAAATTTCGAGAACAAATTTAACAAAGGAGGTAAAAAATCTTTACAATGATATATCAGTAATAGAAATTATAAAAGGCATAAATAAATTTTAAAGTATTTCATGTCTATGGCCAGGTGCGGTGGCTCACATCTGTAATCCCAGCACTTTGGGAGGCTGAGATGGGCAGATCACGAGGTCAGAAGATCGCGACCATCCTAGCTAACAGGTGAAATCCTGTCTCTACTAAAAATACAAAAAAATTAGCAGGGCATGGTAGCAGGCGCCTGTAGTCCCAGCTACTCCGGAGGCTGAGGCAGGAGAATGGCATAAACCCAGGAGGTGGAGCTTGCAGTGAGCCGAGATCGCACCACTGCACTCCAGCCTGGGCAACAGAGTGAGACTCCGTCTCAAAAAAAAAAAAAAAAATTCATGTCTATGCATTTAAAGAATAAATACTGTTAAAGTACCATGTTACCCAAAGTGATCTATAGATTCAATAAACTCTCTAACAGAGTTTCAGTGGCAATTTTTTTAAGCAATGGAAAACACTATTTTAGAATTTCCATGAAACTACAATAAACTTTGAATAGTCAAAGCAATCTTAAAAACAAAGAACAAAGCAGAGGGGCATCATACTTTTTAACTTCAAACTATATTTGAAGACTAGAGTAATATAAACAAGATAAAATGTGCAAAAAAATGAACCAAATAAACAATGAAACAGAAACTACTACTCACATTTCACACATGATGCAAAAAGAAAACTTTAAAAATTGTTTAACACAGAGTTTCTTAAAATTATGCAGATTTGTGTGTTCCCAAAAAGAATGTAAAAGTAGTCAGACTGTGCAGTTTTTTATATGCCATGAAGAGGATGGTGGCTCTCACTGAAAACTTGAAAGAAGATCACCAGAAAGAAAGTAGAATCCTTAGAAAATTTAAAAGCATAAAACAGAAGATGTCCAAATGTGAGAGAAAAAAAACAAAACAAACAAAAAAACCCTCAGGCTTCCCAGAAACTATTTCCTATAAAACACAGCTTTCCAACTCACATTTTAACAACTGGCTTTCTCCTTAATTTTTAGATCTCTCATCTGTGTCATCCATTGTATTCACCTTCACTCTCACCTACCTGGGGGCTCATCCACCATCTCATGTCTCTTCGTATTCCAGGGCTCTTTTTCTTGCTCCAGACAGGTGATCAGGTCTGGCTTAGAGACAGTAATACCTGTTTCATTACAAATAAATACGTAAATTTTGCTCATGTTCTCCAATTACCAACCTAGTTATGTGTTCAGTAAAGAGGGTATAATAAAATATTTTCATAAAGTAATCATAAAATTCTGATTTCTAACAGAGAATTTTAAATATTTTAAATTTATAGGTTATTAATTTCACTACCCAGTAATACTGAGTTAAAACTTGGTGTTGGCAATTAGATTTTAAGGTATGGGCAACAATATTTTATGTTACTAAATTAATGAAATTACTGCTAATCTAGAGTAAAGGACACAGATCAGCTCAGGAATGTGTAAAGTTCAGGTCAAGATGAAACATCCTGAAGAAGTTATTTTATACATGGACAAATCTCCAAGATTCTCTTGAAAACACGGATCTGAAACTCATTTATGCAAAGCATAAATTACCAAAACATACTCTACAAAAAAGAGAAATGAAACCGTTAAGGTATGTTTGGAATTGTGTGTTGAAGTTATCCTCACCCAGGAAGACCAGATTCCTGTAGTTCTCTAACATCATGTTCCTATATAAATTCCACCGTGCAGTGTCCAAGAATTGCCACTCCATCAGAGAGAATTCTATGGCCACATCTGTAAATGTCAACAGTCCCTGAAACACACACACACACACACACACACACACACACACACACACACCAGGTAGCCAGCAGAATTTATAACTTGACTAAAGGCAAAATGAGAGAGTAAAAAGAACTGGTTCTGACTTACAGGAGTGACTGAAATTATCCAATAAAATATTTATTTACACAGAAATATGTCCTAATGTATTCTCTAATCCTGAGAAAAGAGAATGGCATAAGATCCACACCACCAGCATATCTATAATACTTTTCTGGATGATAAAGTATAAAATTAAGGGCATAAACACAAATGTGCACACTTTTCAGTGCTCTATTTGCATCATACAGAATCAGTTATGTATATTTTTCAGGTGGAAAAGATATGTTGAGTTGGAAGTTACCTCTATAATTTGTCATTTTTAGTAGCGATTTTAAATAGTCTGTCTTTAACACCCTAATAGCAAGTATCTCCTAATATAGCTTTTAGAAGTTTTTGTGTAATAAATGCCATCTTGTTTAAATCAGCATTTTCTAAACAGTGTTCTGCATAGAGCTAATGGAGAACACAGATGGAATCTCAACATTAGATGTTCTTCATGTTTACTAAGGACTCCAGCTTTTCCCAATAGGAATCTTGAGTATCCACACCTTCCCATGTTCAGCACCACAAGGGGAACATTTTTAATACTGCAGACCATAAATTCCTGGTGAGAATTTTGCATGGCGTATAAGAAGCCATGATGTAGAGAATGTAGAGAAAGCTATGGTATATAGGAAATAAAGATTTTTCAGAGACCTTGACTATCATAAAAAATTTAAAACATACCTAAAACAAACTTATTAGGGAGAAAAAACAAGTAGAGAGATTAAGGTTTGCAAGTACTGAATGCATGGCATTCCAGGAGGCAGAGTGGACACAGCTCTTTATACAAGACATGTTTAGCTGAAAAAAAAGTCATTTTTTCCTCTTTCTCCTCATTCTCTGGAAATTCACTTCAGATGAGATTCTCTGGACAAATTACATCTGGATCTGGAGAATATGCCTTAAAAGTGTCAGCACCACATGTTTACCTGCTACCACCACACCCACAGGCAGAAGGACCAAGAGCTGCAAAAAAAGTCCACCCATTTCTGTTTTTTATATTAAAAAAAAAAAGACTCAGGAATTATGAGATGTTCCATGGAAATAAAAGTAAAAGCTTCTTCTTTCCTGTCCTCAGGTGACCTCCCTTTTAATAGACTCCATCAATTTCTGCTACAGTAATGAAAATATGAGCCACACTTTCCTGTCACTACCAAACCCAAACAGAACAGGCCCTGTGACCACCTTTTAGTTCAAAGGTGGAACTTAACTCTCATAAATGTATCCTGAACCTCTCATACTCGATTCTGGCCTCACCTAAGAGTCACATGAGGCAGTTAATTTAAGCAACATGAATGCTTCTACTCAGAATTATAAATAGAACCTGTAGTAAAAAAAAAAAAAAAAAAAAAAAAGCATGAGTAAAGAAATTTCAGCAAATTAGCCATGTCATCCTAACTAGAAACATGGGCTGATAACCATTTAGCCAAGCATTGCCCCTTAAACTTTAATAAGCTTAAAAATCAATTGGTAATTTTGGCCCCACTCTGTGCGATATAATCCTGCAGGTTTGGAAAGCGTCCGTGAGTGAGTATTTTACACAAGTTCCCAGTTAATGCTGGTGTTGCTTTCCCTGGGCTCATCATTAGCAGTAGTTAGAGAAAGCAGGCACAGCAAAGAGTCCCTTACACTCAGCACCCTTGTCACAACACACATACTTCTAGGACAAATGAAGACAACCAATTTCCTTATTCTTTGCTGGTTCTCTAAATTTTACAGAACAAACAGAAGGCAGCAATGTTTGAATAAATTTACATTTGGAAACCAACATGTGCACACGTACTAATGCAATGTTTATTAAGCAGGTACTATGGGCTCAAGAGTATGTTACAGAGCACTGTGTTGGGTATAACATACTGTGTGATTTAATCCTCATAACACCCTGGGAGCTGGTACTGTCTTTAATAATTCCCAGATTTTAGACAGGGGGCCTAGCATTTTTATGTCTCCTTCTGATTATCTGTCTTTGATTTTTTTTTTAAAGTATAGAATAAAACCTAAACATAGACAGGTAAAAGGGATATAGAAAGAGTTTACATAGTTTAGCAGAATTTGTATTGTGTTTACATTTACTTTTTGTGACTTGTGGAACAACTACTGGATCTGCAGAAATAAGAGAACAAGTTGTACTTGGACTGTCTCTGCTAGCACTGTTTAAAAAAAAAAAATAGGCCAGGCACGGTGGTTTACACCTGTAATCCCTGCACTTTGGGACGTTGAGGCGGGTGGATCGCATTTTAGCAAGAGGAGAAAAGGGAAAGAGGAGATTCTCATATCTACATGTCTACTCAGTGCACACGTTCCTCTGATTGGGTATCTGCGCTCCATGGTCTGCGAATTCGTTTCAGGAGTGAAGATACAAGAGTCATTGAAAGAGGTAAAACAGTTGATTGCTGCCCTGTCAAATTTGTAGAAATCTGGTCTAGTCTCTCTAGAAGTGACTACAGAAAACTACAGGTACCTAACACGCAGAGACACAATTCTGCCTGCATATTTAAGGGAAAGCAGGCACTTTACAGCAAATTTGTGAGCTGACTGGAAGGCTGAGGGGGGAAAGTCCCCTCTATGGTAAATTCTGGTTGGCACCTTATATGTTTTTATCATGTCTGATAATTCTAGACATTGTTTGGAAAATATAATTAAAAGAAAAATTTTCTCCATCCCCAGAGAAACACCACAATGACAGAACAGTAAGAATTGTGTTTTATTTTTTTTATGCTAAGTTCAAATGTATTTTTTTGATAATACAAAAAAGTAATCCTTGAAAAATCAGAATACATAACAGAAAAGAGCACAATAGCTTAAGTATTAAACATCTGTATGAAATAACTGTTGCAAAGATTGACAAAAATGCACACTTAGAACATGCGGTTATTTAAAAACAAACAAACAAAACACCACACGATTCTGTAGAACCAATGTTATGTCACCACCAGGAGAGCACCAAGGAAGGCACCACTGGAAAGACAACATACTTGGAAAGTCTCTATAAATAAAGTAAATGCTAATCTGGTCGAAAAATCGGTGTCTTTGGTAAAAATTCTATGAGGATGACATATTCCATCATGTTATTCGTTTCACATTTCCTTTTGCTCAGTCTCCAATGCAGGCACAGCTTGTGGTATAACCTATTGTTTTCCCATTCTAATAACTTCTCAATCGATCTTCGTGTCCTTTTACTGAGGCAAATAACTGGCCACATACTGCAACCTAACGTGCAGCAGCAACAAAGGCAGCCACAAAGTAGCCAACGTACATTAACGGGAAGGTTCTTCTTAAGACAACTGTTAACTCTGTTGATGCTGGCTTTAAATTCTTCAGGAGCTACTTTTCCAGTTAACGAAGAAGGGAATTCTGATTCAAATTTGTTGCTCAGTCCAAATACCGTGACGTGACCGGAGCCGCGGACGACCACCGGGTCCGGCGAGTACTTGAGCAGCTGCTCCTCCAGGGCCCACTCCTCGTCCTCCTCTTCCTCATAGATTTCGTCAAAATCCGCCACCCTGAGCCTCGGAGCGCCCCTGCCCAAAGGGGCCTGACTCCCGGGGTTGGCGCCGGGGTACCCGCGGGCGAGGCAGCGGAGGCTGAGGGGAGTCGCCGCTGCCACCGGTTCCGAGGCCGCGGAGTTCGCTGTCGGCTGTCTCGGCTCCGGCTACAGAGGAGATGGGGTCGGGACCATAGCCACCACTATCATCAGCAATAACAACAACACAATGTCAACATCCGCCCAGAGGCGGACACCTCCACAAGCACAGAGGCCGCTGCCTCGGCAGCAGCAGTAGCAACTCAGGCAACCACAGCAACAGCCTGAGCCACCGGCAGCGGGAGCAGCTGGCTACGGTATCGCGAGACTTCCCGGGCCTACGGGTGGGCGGGAGCGTGCGCAGGCGCGTGGGCGCGCGGACTCAAGAATTGTGTTTTATTACCTAATTAATTGAGAATGCGTCGTGCATCACAGTCTATCTGCTTAACAGATTGCAAAGAAAGAAAGATGGTCACCATAATTAGTCCACGAGTAGAAGAATATACGGCACCATGTCATACATAGTTCATCCTGAATTCACCTGGTAACTGGAGAGGCTATTCATGTATGCTAATAGGTTATATTCAGTGATAAAATAAACTTTTCACATCTTCACAATGTAAGGTAGTTTTGCAACTTGAAGCCAGGTGCCTGCCGAAAGCAGGCTCACTCTGCTACACAAATGGTTGATTAGGGTGCTGTCTTTTTGGTTATTTACATTTTAAAGCAATGGCTCTCTACTCCCTGAGCCCTGGGTTATAGCAATCCTGCTTGCCGTCTCCTCCTGATGGCTAGTGCCCTTTCTTGAACCCTACCATCTGCTACTGAGGTACAGCCCACAGCACAGGGCTCACAGCTGGAAACTCACGTCTTACATGAACCCCAGTTGCCACAGCAGCACTTGAGTGCCACATCAGAGAATGAAGCCTGAGCAGCAGAAGGAGAGCTTGCAGACCTCCTGGTTAGAACTGCACCTTCATGATAATGGAAATGAAAGCAGTGTTTCAGCCTCAGTTTCTGTTTGTATAATGGTGACATGAAAAAAATACTGCTGGATTTCCAGCATGAGTCACATAGAGATAGGTCTAAGAGTTCTCCCTGTGACAGCCCAGCTCATTCACAGGCACCATGGGATACTAATAGGACCCCTGAAACAGCCACTCAAAGCACTGGAGAGAAAAGCATCTCTCAGTCTGAGAAAGATTATATTGAGAAAAGAAAGCTAAAGGCGTCTTCAGAACACTTCTATTAGATATAAACTTGATCCAATCAACCAGAAAATATTCTCCTTAAAGGAATTTCTCTCTAAAACCCCAAAGCACCGCCTGGCATGGTGGCTTATGCCTGTAATCCCAGCACTTTGGGAGGCTGAGGCAGGCAGATCACTTGTGGCCAGGAGTTCAAGACCAATCTGGCTAACATGGTGAAACCCCATCTCTACTAAAAATCCAAAATCAGCTGGACTTGGTGGCTTGTGCCTGTGATCCCAGCCACTCAGGAGGCTGAGGCAGGAGAATCACCTGAGCTTGGGAGGCAGAGGTTGCAGTGAGCCAAGATCACGCCACTGCACTCCAGCATGGGTGACAGAGCTAGACTCTGTCTGAAAATAAATAAATAAATAAATAAAATAAATAAATAAAAAGAGATATTTTTCAGAGACCCTTGACTATCAGTAAAATTTTTAAAAATAGTTAAAACAAACTCATTACGGAGGAAAAACACAAGAAGAGAAGTAAAGGTTTGCAAGTACTAAACGCATGGAATTCCAGGAGGCAGAGTGAACATAGCTCTTGACCTGAGACGTGTTTAGCTGAAAAACAAAGGCGTATTTTTTTCCGTATCTCCTGCTTCTCTGGGATTCCTTTTCAGTTGAGATTCTCTGGACAAATTACACCTGTATCTTGAGAATATGCCTTTAAAGGTGTCAGTACCACCTGTTTACCTGCTACCTCCACACCCACAGGCAGAAGTACCAAGACCCACTGAAAAAGTCCACCCACTTCTGTCCTTCATAACATGAAAAAATCAGGAACAATTAGTTGCTCCATGATGATAGAAATATATGTTTCTCCTTTCCTGTCTTCGGTGCCCTTCCCTGTCACAGATACCAACAATCTCTGCTACAGTAATAAAAATATGGGCCACACTGCCCAGTCCACACCAAACCCAAACAGAACAGGCCCTATGATCACCCTGTAGAAAACAGCTGAAACTGAACTCTCATGAGTGTATCTTCAACCCCTCATACTTGATTCTGGTCTCACCTTAGAGTCACATGAGGCACTTAATTAAAACAACATGGATGCGTCCAACAATAAAAAGAACCCATGGAAAGGGCATGAGCAAAGATATTTCTGTGAATTGGCAATGCAATTTGAGTATCCACACCTAAGTAATCCACATTACTCACAATGGCAAAAACTGTAGTAACTTTTGCACCAAATGAATAGAACCCTGGGTTTAT